AGCTGCCCTTATCCAAACATCTTCTACCCGCTTCTCCACATCTGCCCTCATCCCAACTTCTTCTACTGGAATCTCCGCAGCTGCCCTTATCCAAACATCTTCTACCCGCATCTTCACATCTGCCCTCATCCCATCTTCTACCCACATCTTCACATCTGCCCTCATCCCAACTTCTTCTACCCGCATCTCCACATCTGCCCTCATCCCAACTTCTTCTAACCTAATCTCTATATATTCCTTCTTCCCAGCATCTTCTACCCTCATCTCCACATCTGCCCTCATCCCAACATCTTCTCCTAACTGCGCATCTGCCCTCATTTAAACAACCTGCATCTCCCTATATTCATCTAAAACTTTGCCTACATCTCTTAACCCTTTCCCGAACTTTTAGTCGCACCTTTGCCTCTTCTAATTAAGTTTGGCTCATATATCCTCCAGCATATTTGTAGTCTATAGCAAGGTTAAAGCAGTAAAAATCAAATCTGAGTATCAATGAATCCAAAAGAATAAGCCATGTTTCTCATTCTCTAACAGATTTCTACCATTAACAGAGTTAAGACAACTGTCCCCTATTGATTTGTTCTTGGTATATTTACATATATATTCAAATTTGGGTCGTTTCAGAAAATATGAACGGCAACAGGAGATTGTGGAAGGAAACCAATCGTAATTTGGTTTACAGAAGTGTACGCAATGGTACAGGATATTTACAACATCTCTCCGGAATATCTTAAGAGACGTCTTTGCCGACCTCTTTGTATTCCAGGAACACACGACGGGTTGGTCTTAGTCAAATCACAAAAAATATCATAATAAAAATACCTCCCATTAGAGACCATGGCCCAGAAACATTGATATTGCCGGTCTCTCCTGTAGGACGTCGTTTACCGGAGGTTTAATTAGATCATAGCCAAGTTAAGTCTTAGTTTTACATCATATGGGTCGCTTAGGTAAATTGTATAGTAATGGTTTGATGTCCAATCATTTTTACATAACTGGGTGAAGTTTAAAGAAATAAAATTGTGTTTTCTTTTTAAACATAAAATAAACACATTGAAAATTTGCTTAATCTAACCTAACCATTCTGCTGTTAGCTGAACACACACGCCAATCTTATTTTAAAACCAAATCCCAATAAAACGACAAATGTTTTCCCACCAGGTTCCCCACATATTGCCAAACACGTGGCAGGCTGTCATTGGCTGCTGCTCCCGTGGGAGGACAACCAAATCTTGGAGTGACAATATTGAATTGTGCCAACTGTCACCAAAATGTCCGACAAACAATGGTACGTTCTGATTGGCTGCCGGATGTCCAACAGGGTCGCTGTCAAGTGTCGCCAAGCGATGATTTGGCAGAAAAAATACTGTTCGGCAACACTGCGTTGTCTGTGAATCCAAGAAATGTGACAACTTGCACTTACCAGTGAGTTTTCTATTGTAGGCCTATAACCAAATACGGCCAGATTTATTGATTTTATTTTCTTTCAAATCACAAAATAATAATAATCTTGACAGTATCTCTTTATTTCAACACACAAAACGCGATATCTCCGCCAGGGATAATTGCCTCAATTTACACAATTGTTAAACAAAGAAGTTCCAGTTACAAAATCACATTACTAGGTACAGCTCGAAAACCTAGTTTATGATATTTACAATGAATAATATGCACAGGTTCTTCACAGTGTATTTACATATTTACATGGTTAGAGCCTCGGTTTGTTTCTCAGTTCCAGTTCCAAAGTAACTTTATTAGGTACCACTCAAAGAGCAACCTAACTTATGATATTTACAATAAATAATATGTACAGGTTCTTCACAGTGTATTTACATATTTACATGGTTAGAGCCTCGGTTTGTTTCTCAGTTCCAGTTCCAAAGTAACTTTATTAGGTACCACTCAAAGAGCAACCGAACTTATGATATTTACAATGAATAATATGTACAGGTTCTTCACATTTACATATTTACATGGTTAGAGCCTTGTGCGGGGTCTTGTGGTCCCTCCTCCAAGATGGGCTGTAATCCTCGTTTATTTTCTTCTAGGTACATTTTATTTCTTTCGGTTTTTCCATTTTTCTACATTTGTTCTCTATTCATATAATAGTTGCCTTGGCTTTGGTTTAAACAAAGAAACAGTTATATAGATCATTACGAAAAAAAAAGATTAAAAGAAAAGAAACGATAAAATAGATTAGGAACCTGATCCTTTCAGGTTAGACAACAGATAGTCATAAATACGAAAGAGACAGTATCAAATTATTATTTTTTATATTTACTATAATATTACCGTACTTTGTGAATATAAAAATTAAATTTGACCAACTTTCAGTGCTTATCATGAAAATAGAGGTTGCCTGGCCGACATTCATATTTCTTTATAAAATAGACACTTCGGCCAGTTAGAGTTTTATTTTCTCAACGTTTTCGACAAAATCTTTTGTTTTCGTCAGGAGAAATAAATAAAAATAAAGCATTTGGTAAATCGTTAAAATTGTTTCAGTACTTAGTTGGATGAGTAGAAATAACCTAGGATAATTCTGGATAAGCATACTTATAGATCATCAAGTTTAAGACTGTCTACGAGGTCTGAAGACTAGCCTTGGTTGCCTTGGTGGAACAGTTTCCTAAGTGTCTATAGACAAGTTATATCTTGGCATGTACTGTACTTTATAATACAATATAATGTGGCTTATGATTGTAGAACGACTTTTGAAAATTATCCTGCAACTTTTTCTTTTGAAATAATAATTATTTCTCCTTAAAATAAACTTCCATTTTTCGTTAAAAAAAAAAAAAAAATTTGCGAGATAATTTTCAAACTTCGTTCTACAATTATATGCCGCATTATATTGTATTATAAATTACTTTTTATAATATTTACGAACGGAGAAATATGTCCAGGGTAGCCGCCTAGTGGACATGGTATCTGCCCGGTAAGCGGAACACTGTGGGTTCGATTCCCATCCCTGAACACTTTATGTTTCCGTTTATCATTACTCTTCACAATTCATACTTTCATACTTCATCTCTAAGGTTAGAAATAATCGTTATTTCTTCTTAAAATAAATTCCGATTTTTCGTTCAAAAAAAAACATTTGCGGGATAATTTTCAAATGTCGTTCTACAAGTAGTGTACACTTCAAAGAGGACAGGCCAAGGTTCTGTATACCTGTCAATAATATATAATTTAATGTCGAAACATCGAGGTAATAAAAAGATTTACTGGCCGAAGTATCTTTATTTTCAAGAAATATAATTAAAGCTATTGATTGTGATGAACAATTTGTTTAAAAGGCCCGCGGAGTTGTCATCATCTGTATGCGGCTTCAGAAACTTATGTTTATATATCATTATATGAATTCGAGAGAACAAATTTCATCTAGGGAAGAGTGTTTTTCTATTTCATTTTGTTCAGATAGGTTGAAAGAGTAACCGATGTCTCTGATATGTAAAGGATCCATTGTCTTAGTTTCTGATGTATCTATTGTGTTCACATTTCTACCTGTCTCTCCTATATATACACACTTAACCTCACAATCTCTGCATAAAATTGAATAAACTCTTTTCGATTTATTGATTGGATGGAAGGGAATACTGCTTTTATTTATTTATTTCAATTTAAAGCGCTATGTTCCCCTAGGGACACTTACGCTGTCATACATGTATGTCTCTATATTTGTCTATACATATTTACAATTGACTTTAGGCCATAAAGAATAGTCATATGATATTAACAAGGAGAGAAAAAACGAGAACAGAGAACTGGGAACAAAATAAATAAATACTGATATTAATGTAAGTATTTCTTATTAAACTGACAATATTGGGGGAATTGTTGAACCAAGTTGTAGCACCATATATCTTGAGTGTACGGGCTATGGCAACACTTTCAGGGAAGTAAGGAAAGTGCAGTTTGATTTGCATACAGGATTGAAGCGAGTGTTATTAGGGTCGTAAAATGTCTAAGTATGAATAATTTGGAACATCTTCAGGATTGAAAGACACTCTTCTCTGGAGGGAATATTTTCTCTCAAATGATATTGTAGCAAAGTATTTATTATTTTATTAACAGAGTGTCATTTTTGCTTATATTTTCTACTCTGTAAAATTCCCTCTTTGCTTATCTTTTGTTTATCATTCTTAGTTTGTTCTTGCCTTAAATAAATTGCTGTGTTATCCCGAAGTGTTTGTCTTTCCTAATTTTCCACGTGGCAATATTATATAAGGGATTGTATGTGTATTTCACATCCATTCTGGTTAGCAGCCCCGCAAATAAAGATATTTCCGTTATATTTTTATGATATTTTTCTTAAAAGTTAAGAAATTATTTTAAAATTTCACATGTTAATCTGTGATAAACCAGTTAAAAACAAGGATTGTGTATACTGACAATCTCTCTCTCAAGAAAGCAAAAAAACAAAACCGACCAAAAGATGATGAAGCAGGTAATGCTTCCTGAAACAAGCCTTATAGATCGTCTGGTTGGAAAAGCCATCTTTCATCCACTTCTGCTCTTTTATAGTTTGCTGCTGCTTGCCGTCGTCTGTAAAAAAAAAATGATTAATTCCTTCATCTGTTTTTTAAACTTATTTCTTGTAGAGGGGGGAGTTGATTGTTTTCAGGGGACGTCAGAGAGGAGGATGGAAGGGCGCGGGTCACGCAGGTTAGTTTGGCGATTTATTGCTGGTTTCATCGTCTGCTAATCTCGGCCTTCTCGAATTCGAAGCGATCTTTTGGTTCAGCTTTTTGGCTTGGCTTGCTTTGAGAATTTTATGTTTATTTTGTGGATGGAATTTTTGTATGTATGTCTGCGGAATATTTTTACACTAAATATATTGATGATTGCATGTAAATGTACAATGTGTTCATTTATTAACTTTAAAGTATTAATAATGATAATTGAAATAATTGTGTTATTTATCATCTTTTATGGTGGTGATTATATAAATTGTATATTTTTTCACATTATATTTTATAATTATGGAAAATATTTAAGACTTTTGAATAAATATATTCGTCCTACTCTAAAAAATTACTGGGGTTTTTGCTTTGATATTTGATTTAACGGCAATGTAAAGCTTAAAAAATTGCATATATATTTTTTTAAATAGGGTATTAAATAATGAATCTATATTTTATCATTCTATATATGTACAGTAGAACCTCCCTGTAAAGGACAACATCTAATTGCAGAGCCAAAGTGTCCTTTAGGGAGAGGTGTTCTTTTACTGGAGAGTTGTTAAATAGTAAAAATGGTAATTTTGCAAATGAAAACTGTCCTTTGTAGAGAGGTGTCCGCTAAAGAGAGGTTCTACTGTTTTTATATAAAGTCTATACGGTCTATTGCCTATCTGGGGTGAAACCCCAAACGTAAATAATGATGTTTATAATGATAGGTTATCTTCCATAGTCCGAGGTTTACCTAGATCAGTGTCGGGCAACCGGTGTGCCGTGGCACACTGGTGTGCCGCGAAGAATTCTAGGTGTGCCGCGAACATTTTTGTAGGTATTTAGAACTTTTGGTTAAATTTAAAAATAATGTTTCAAAAAATATTTTTTATAATTTTTATTCAATTTTAATAATATTTTCCAAAAATTTCATATAAAAAATGAAATAAAAAAAAGCAAATTTCATTTTATATAAAACTTATTTTGGTATTATAATTACAACAGTTTGCATAATTTTATATTTCATATAACGTATGTACATAATCTTGACGTACATAACTGGCACGTGCCATTATTTAAAAAAAATGCAAATAGGTACGTACCTATTTAAAATCATAAGTTAAAAAAAAAACAATCCGCGAAAACAACTTTATTTAATAAAGTTGAATACATACTGCGGGGAAAATACCTAATTTTTAAAATAAAATGTCCAAACTTAACCGTCATTTACAATCTTTGTCACAGCTGTTTATTAATAGAGACTCAAAGCTACAAAGCTTAAAAAAAAGAAAACAAAAAAAAATTATAAATTAAACAGCCTAATTTAAATTTGCATGGTGCTCAGGAGAACATTATCACTATCTCCACCAAGTTGAAAGCGTTTAAGGAAAAACTCAGTTTATGGAATTTAAACATTGCTAAAGAAAACTTTGCATCTTTTCCGATGGTTCAAGAGAATCCATCAAAATCTATTATCAAAAAAGAAGTCGAAGAAACTTTGACATTACTATCCGCTTCTTTTGATAAATATTTTCCTTACTTGGACGTTGAAAAGATGGAATGGGTAGTTAACCCATTTATGCACTGTGAAATTCAACATCTGGAAGAAGAAATGCAAGAAAACTTAATTGATTTAAAAAACGATTTAGTTTTCAATAGACTATTCACTGAAAATCTGAGTTTTGGTTGTGCTTAAACTCCAAATTTCCTAAACTTAGTAATGCGGCCATCGAATCATTGTTGCCATTTGGAAGTTCCTACCTGTGTGAGCAAGGTTTTTCAACACTCACATAAATGAAGTCTAAGAAGCGCGAAAGACTTCAAATGATAGATGAGGAGATGCGCGTTTGTCTTTCACAAGTAGATCCCCGTGTTGATTTGATATGCTCTTAAAAACAATCGCAATGCTCGCATTGATTATGTTAATTTAATATTGAAAATTAATAAAATGTGATATATATGTTTAAATTTTTACTAGTATTTATTGTTGTATTTTAATTACCTACGAGGAAATTTATAGTGAGAACCACAGGTGCGCCGCGAAAAAAAGAAATTAAGCTTAGTGCGCCGCAACTCGAAAAAGGTTGCCCGACACTGACCTAGATCATTCAGCTGTTGTGCTAAAGCTGTAGAGCCGTAAATATTTCTAGGAAGGTTTAACTATGTTAGAATCAAACACTTCTTCTGTTGATCAACATATAGATGATTATTTATTTACAATAGTGATCAGTATAATAAAAATTCTTATTTTATAATTTGATGATAATATAAAAATGATTAGAGATAATAAAAATTTTGTGAGAACACGTGTGTAACTATATCAATATACAAGGTGCGTTCTTTAATTTCCAGGACTGTTCCGTATTTTTAAAAAAAAATTGAATATTTTTCAAAATATTCGCCTCCTGTCTCAATATACCTGTGCCATCTTTTTTTGTCAATTTTCAAAGCAGAAGATAAAACTATCTTTTAAGAGGATCTTCAAATTTGCCTTCAATTCAGCTTGTATCATATCAACGTTGTCAAATTTCCTTCCTTCTAACTGTATTCTCAATTTAGGATAGAGGAAAAGGGTCATTGAGGATTAAATCTGTAAAATAGGGTGGATGAGAGAGCTGTGTGGTTGGATGCTTGGAAAAGAACTGCAAAACAATATAGGCTGTATGTGGTCGCACATTATCGACTTAAGTATCCAGTAATTGTTTTGCCATCTTTCAGGTCTTTAAAGGTGCATTGCCTTCCTTAAACGCTCATTATCCTTTAATAAACTTCTTGATTCATTTTACGTCCAAAAATAATATATTTATGGTGACCAAACCATTAATATCGAAAAATGTAACAATCAATGTCTTCTTTGAATTTTGCAAACCTTACCTTTTGGGCTTCGGTTTCCTTCTTTCAATCCATTGGCTGGATTGACGTTTAGTTTCCAGGTCATACTGATACACCCATGTCTCATCCCCGTTAATGATTTTTTGACTTCATTCTGGATCAATCCGAGTCATTTCGATCATGTTTTGGCAGACCTCCATTCAAAACTCCTTTTGGTCCTCCTTTAGAATCCGGGGAATAAATATTGAAGACGTCCGGATCATGTCCAAATATTTTGATCACACAATCCTACAGATAGCCCCCAGTCCGTAAATATTAGTCTTTAATAAAGATTATTCTGTTATCTTTTTTATTAGTTCCTTTATTTTGAGCTTGTTTTCCTCCCAACGTAATGTTCTTGGACGCCCAGTATGTTGATCATCGTTTACCTCTTCCCGACCTTTTTGGAAGCGTGAAAGCTATCCAAAAGTTC